ATTAAAGGGATGCTTTATCTTATATTAAGTTAGATCTTTGCATTATTTGACCAGGAACTTGGGTTTGCCTATATTACCATAATCTCCCTTTCCTAGTACATTTTTTAATAGTCAGGGGCAATAACAGGATGTCTTATCTCCATATTGTTGTAGTAGCTGTATTTGTAAGATATTAGTCCTTAGGGATTCCTACCTGGAAGAAGCAGTTAGAAAAGTAATCAATAACTATACTACATTTGTCCATTACTGAATTGTTTCAGAACTGTGGTGTATGGTTTTTGTTTGTTTTTGTTGATCCTCACCTGAGGATATTTTTTCCATTGCTTTTCAGATAGAGAGTAGAAGGGGGCAGGGAGAGAAACATAGATGTGAGACACATTGATTGGTTGCTTCCCAAACTTGCCCTGAACCAGGGGTGGGGAGTGAACCCAAAACCCAGGTACGTGCCCTTGACCAGGAATCGAACCCATGACTGTTTGGTGTGCAGGCTGATGCTCTGACCATTGAACCACACCAGCCAGGGCCAGAACTGTGTTTTGGTGATAGTCGTCTCTGCACATGGCTAAAGCTTCTCTTTAACACAAATTACAAAATTAAACATGTAGAAATGTTGACTATTAAATATTTATTTATTCAATACTCCCAAAATAGGTCTAGTGAAAACCTGGTGCTGCTTCTAAATTAAATGTGTTTTCTAGAAGTATTATAAAAATTTTATTATTAAATGAGAAACAGCCAAATTAACAAGTTTCAGCTATCTATTGCTACCTATTATTTCCAGTTTTTTAAAATGTCTGCATATGCTACCAGAACTATATTTGTTGTATAACAGGAGGCTGTCACTCTTAGATGAATTGTTTTTTTATTCAATATCAACTATTTAACCAATATTTAAGAAGTATCCCTGTATATTAGGTATCTGACATTATGACTTTGAGCTGTTTTACTTGGAGTTGTTGACTCATCTGTTTAGCTGCCAGTAATATTACATTCTACATTTTAGCCTTTTTGACATAATCATCTGGACATCTTCTTTTTGTGGCAGACTGGTTTGTCATCATTTGATATTTTAGAACCTTGAGGGGGCTCAGGGCTGGGGGAAGATGTTTGAGCCTCAGTATTAAATTTTTAATGTGTTTTCTCAGACTTAAAATATATGCATACTTGTCCTGGCTGGGTGACTCAGTTGATTGGAGCACTGTTCCATACACCAAAAGGTTGTGGGTTCAATTCCTGGTCAGGGCACATACCTAGGTTGCAGGTTTGATCACGTTCTGGAAGAGTTCAGGAGGCAGCCGATCGATCTATCCTTCTCACATTGATGTTTCTCTCTCTTTCTTTCACTCTCTCCGCCCCCTACCCCTTCCTCTCTTCCTCTCGAAGATTGATAAACGTGAAAATATATGCATACTTTATATAATGTGATTTATGTGATTCGGGTTGGATCCCCATTTGGGGCTCATGAGGGAGGCAACTGACCGATGTTTCTCTCTCTCTGTCTTCCCCCCTTCCCTCTCTCTAAAATCAGTTTTAAAAAATCATAATGATAATCAGCTTAAATAGAACTTACTATATACCAGCACTGTTCTGCATGCTACATATACATTAGTACTTATTCCTTGCAAATGCCTTATGTGGTAGATATTAATGTATCCACATTTTTTGAGGCACAGAGTGTGTAGGTTACTTGCACCAGGTCACACAGCTGGTAAATGACAGAGCTTAGATTCAAACCTAGGGTTCGTGTACTTCCACCCCACTGTTAGCCCTGGCTTAAAAATAATACCAGGTAGAAGTTTTAGCAACACAGAAATTAATAAAATAGAAAGTATACATCCCCCATAACAGGAATAGAGATGAAACGAGTAGAGTAGAGATATCTGTTAATTACATTGACAAATGTAGACAAAATAGTAAAAAACAGTACGTTTACATTTTATTGGAAGCTTTGACAATGTTGAGTCAGTGTTGGCATCACAATCCACTCCTTTATCAGTGTTCCATCATTGTATAATGAATGCCTGGTACTTAGGCATAATACATCTGTAGTACAAATTCTAGTATAATTTGAATTCTGATTAACAAGATATTCAAACCTCACCTTTTAAGTTATTTGTTTTGGTACAGCAAATTCATGATATCTGTAAGTAGTGAGACCATGCTTTGGAGTTCTTATGACAGAATTTTCCTGTTAAAATATTTTTCCTTAAAAAAACAACAACTTATTTCTTGACTTTTAGAGATGCACAAAGACTTGAAGAATTCTTCACCAAAAATCAACAGCTGAGAGAGCAACAGAAAGTCCTTCATGAAACCATTAAAGTTTTAGAAGATCGGTGAGTGTGTTTCTTGGGTCTTTTTGAGTCAGAGGTGATTTTTCCCTTTAAGAGAAAGTACATTGGTTTTAATTTGTGATCAACTCTGGGACCGAAAGTGGTCTTTTTTCCCAATCATATGTCAACTTCGGATGAAATTAAGGACATACCCTTGCACGCTTGTTGTTTTTACCCTTTTACATCAATTTACCCTTTAAATGGTGTTTCTTTATCTGGTATTTGATGTAGAATGAGCTTAACAGTAGCAGTGTTCTAATTCAAAAATATTTGCTGCTTTTAATTCCATTTTACTTCTGAGTAGGTGAGAACTACTTCACAATTCTATTCCTGTTTTCTTATTTCTGCCATTCTCTTTTCTTTTCTGCACATTCTTCACTTCCAGGCAGTCTAGGGATTCTTCTTTCTGAATATTCCCGAGATAATGCCTGTCACTTACTTCACCTCCATATACAAAACTTTTTCACTCCTATGAGATTAACACCCTACATTAGAAAAGGCTTCCATTTTGCTGCATTCTTTTGTGTGAACTGTAAGTGCTATTTAGGACCTTGAACTTCCTATAATAAATAATGTTACTTTATAGTTGATATTTTTCCTTTATTACTATTTTCGTTTATGTTACAGAAGGTCTGGTGGTTTGAATTTGCTCCTGTTCCTTTAGTGGTGGAATCTAATGTTCTGCTCGTATGCAAACTGAAGTTGAGTACTCTTCTTCTATAACTACTGTCTTAGTAGATGTGCATTCACTGGAATAGGCAGCCCGTAGAGGAATAAAGCTCCATGTGCTTTGGAATGAATCATAGATGTGAACTTGAATTTCAGCTTCACACTGTGTCCTTAATTACTATTATTTACTCAATAACAGTGAATAGTTAAGTCTTTACTATGTTCTAAGTGTTGCTCTAGGGACTAGGAATAATACTATGCCTAATATATCATGGAACTGATATTTAATTTTCAAAGGTTGGGAGTAAGTCATACAAATAAGATTTCAGATTTTAAGTGCTATGAAAAAAATAAAACTGAATGATGAAATTGAGTAACCACTGGCATTGGGAAATGAAGGGATACTGATGGATGTCAGGGATGGCCTTTCTGAGAAGGTGCCATTTGCACTGAGACCAGAATTACACAAAAAAGGGCCAGTTATTTGAAGAATTAGAGAATAAAAAGAGGACAGATGCAAAAGCCTAAGGTGCAAATCCGTTTTGAAATATTTGAGGAACAGAAAATCCACTGTGGTTCTAACTTAGTGCATAAGAGGATGAGTGACAGGAGGTAAGATTGGTAAGGTGGGAAATACCTAGGTTATTTTGGGATGTAAGCAAAAAAACTTGACTTTTAATTGCTATGGGAAGCCATTGGAAGGTTTAAAATAGGTCCTGGCCAGGTAGCTCAGTCATATGTTCCTGGCTTTTCTCCTACTCTCTTAATTTCTCTTCTGTCATCTCTGCCACTCCACCGCTTACCACAAGCAATGAGGTTCTTCCCTCACTGTAATAGTGGTAGTAATGGCAAGAGATTAGGAATTCTTTCTGTTTAGTGATTCCTACATAAAGAAAATTTTAAGTTTGGCTTTAACTTAATATGTTAGTCTGAATTCTCTGAGAAGCAAACATTCAAAAGATCTTGGGGGAAATGACTGTAGGGAAAAGGAAGAGGGAGCTGGAAGAGCTTTGAGATCTCCATGTATCTAACCCTTTTGAAGAATTGAGGGGAAAAGGAAGATCTTAGACTGAATAAGAATTTTAAGAAAGCAATTGGGAGTAGTGGGGAGTGGCCAGTGGGGAATTCTGGAGCACTAGTATACCTGCTCCACTCATTCATTGGCTGGCGTCTGACTCTGGAATGTCTGCTTTGTTCACCTGTATGAAAAGGTAAAGGATTTCAGAGCACAGCAGCTGGAGCCAGTGATTTTACTTCCCACAGAAGATTTATTTTTGTAACTACCACTCTCAAGGAATGATTGTATTTCTTTCCAGCATACTTCCTGTTTGTTTATTTTATTTTACTTTATTTTTTTAATTATTTTTGCTGAAATGTTGTGTCCCAAATAAGATACACCATTTTTTTGTTTTTGTTTTTTTTAATTTTAGAGGACGTTTATTTAAAGCTGAGGACAACAAAACAAGGAAGGGCTGGGAAAATGAGTCTAGGTTGGTCTGCTTTGGCTCACTAAGTCAGAGGAAAGGGGGCCTTGGGAACAGGCTCAGGGGATTTGCCCAGGATGAACTGCCACTGCCCATTGCTGTCCTGGTTGCAAGCCTTATGGGGTCCCTTAAGGTTTAGGAGATGCATGCCTGTGGGGAAAGAGGTGGGGGAAGGTACAGGCTCTCTCCTGGGGGAGAGAGTACACTGATGCACCATTTTTAAAAAATTGTTTATTTATTGATTTTGGAGAAGGGAGAGAGAGAGAAAAAAACACATCATTTGTTGTTCCACTTATTTATGCATTCATTGGTTGATTCTTTTTTTTCTTTTTTTCAAGAATAGTTTATTGATTTTGATTTTTAGAAAGAGAGGAAGGGAGAAGAGAGAGAAACATCAGTGCGAGAGCATAACATTGATGGTGGCTGCCTCCTGCACACCCCTTACCGATGATCAAACCTGCAATCCGGGCATGAGCCCTGACTGAGAATTGAACCAGCAACCTTTTGGTACACAGGATGCCGTCCCAACCACCTGAGCCACACCGGCCAGGGCCAGTGGTTGATTCTTGTACTTGCCCTGACCTGGCATTGAACATGCAGCCTTGGCATATTGGGACCATGCTTTAACCAACTGAGCTACCTGGCCAGGACCTATTTTATTCATTTATTTATTTATTTTCCCCAGTGCACTTCCTGTTTAGTTGGTCATTAGCAAGTTTAGGGCCCAAAGTTAATACCCTGAAAAAAAAAATATTCACAAGATAAAGTTTTTATTATGTTTTGTTTAAATTAGCTTGATAAAAATCAGCTTTCCATTTCACCTCCAAGATACAGTGTTCTTCCTCTTAGCCCTTGAATACACTCCTTTCTAGTGTCTTCTAATCATTTCCTCACTTTATGATTTTCAGTTTGAGTTTCCAGTTCTGATATTCTTTGTCTTTTGTGTTTCCCTTCATTTCTTTTTCAGTCTCATTCCGAGAAGAAATGTCAGTGGATGAATGCCCCCACCCTTCCCGTTGAAGTATTTTCTAAATTACTCTCTTTTATTCAGTTAATATATTTAATTGTGCAAATTATCTTTTGGTAGAGTTTCTGAATTGGTGAATATGTGGAGATGTGAGGGAAGTAGTGTACCTGGGGAGGGGAAAAATACATACGTGTATGTGTGTGTGTATATCTTTTATTTTGTAGTTTCTTTTCTTTTTTAAAAAATTTTATTTATTGATTTGAGAAAGAGGAAGAGAGAAACATTGATTTGTTGTTCCATTTATTTATGCATTCATTAGTTGATTCTTGTATGTACCCTGACCAGGATCAAACCCTCAACCTTGTCTTATTGTGATGGTGCTCTAACCAGCTGAGCTACCCGGCTAGGGCTATTCTGCAGTTTTTTAAAACTAGACTCTTTTCCATTTTTGATCTATGGTCACTAATTTCATGTGGATATCCTGCTTCTCTGTTGTTTCTTTTTTTTCTTTTTTTAAAAAATATTATAGATGGCCCTTTTTCTCCCCAATGACCCATTCCACCCCATCCCCTCCCCCTCCCCAG